CCCTGTGTGTCCCCAAACCCCAAACCCAACCCCTTGTGCCCCAAACCCATCCCCGTGTCCCAAACCCTTCCCTGTGTCCCCAACCCTTCCCCTGTGTCCCCAAACCCTTCCCCGTGTCCCAAACCCTTCCTTGTGACCCAAACCCAGCCCCGTGCCCCAAACCCTCCCCATGTCCCCAAACCCTTCCCTGTGTCCCAAACTCAGCCCCATGTCCCAAACCCTTCCCTGTATTCCAAACCCGTCCCTGTGTCCCCAAACCCTTCCCTGTGTCCCCAAACCCTTCCCTGTGTCCCCAAACCCCTCTGGAAGGGCTGGCCCAGCTCCCACCTTGCTCCAGGTCGAACACATCCACGGTCCTCATGAACTTGGGCTGCCGGTAGAGCCGGCCCTGGCGCAGCCCCCCGAGGCTGAAGAGCTTCTCCTCGGTGGGCACGAAGCTGGAGAAGGCTCTTTTGTTGGGAATGTTGGGGAACCTGGTCCAGGAGCGCGTGTCCGTGTCGAAGACCTCGAAGGCGTTGACGGCGTACTTGGATTGCCTTCCCCCTGGGAAAGGGGAGGGAATCCCTGCTCAGGGACCGGGGCAGCCTGAGCAAAATGGGATTTCCCTCAGCAAAATGGGATTTCCCTCAGTAAAATGGGATTTTTCACCTCTCTGTGCTCCTTTTCTCTGTCCCGGGACAGGAAAAAGGTGTTTTCCAAGCTCTCCCCACTCCCCGCGGTGCTGGCACAGAGCGGGGTTTAAAATGCATGGGTTTAATGCAGACAAACTCAGATTAAACTGGTTTAATGCAGACAAACTCAGATTAAAGCAGTTTAATGCAGACAAACTCAGAGCAGAGCTGGGATCAGGCTCAGGAAGATGAGAGGAATTCCCATGAGCTCGGATCCAGCAAGGCCTGGATCCCAGTTATCCCAGTGCTGAGATCCCAGTTATCCCAGTGCTGAGATCCCAGTTATCCCAGTGTTGGGATCCCAGTTATCCCAGTGTTGGGATCTCAGTTATCCCAATGCTGGAATCTGAATTATCCCAGTGCCAGGGATTCCAGTTATCCCAGTGCTGAGATCCCAGTTATCCCAGTGCAAGGGATCCCAGTTATCTCAGTGCTGAGATCCCAGTGCCAGGGATCCCAGTTATCCCAGTTATCCCAGTTATCCTAGTGCCAGGGATCCCAGTTATCCCATCTGTCAGGCATGGAGGATGACGAGGAGGAGGAGAAAGAGGAGAAAGGGGAGAAGGAAGAAAAAAGGAGAAGGAAGAGAAGGGAAGCAAAAGGAAGAAAAATGGAAGAGAAGGAAGAAAAGGAAGGAAAGAGGAAGAAAAAGGAAAGAGAAAGAAGAAGACAGAAAAAGAAAGGAAGGAGAAGGAGAAGGAGAAGGAGGAGGAGGAGGAGGAGGAGGCAGGGCTGGTCCTTACCCAGCACGTAGATCTTGGAGCCCCTCAGGATGGACGTGGCCGCGTAGCGGGGGGTGGGCATGGCAGCCAGGGACACCCAGATGTCCTTGAGCACGTCATAGTGCTGCAGGAAATTGTGGGGCCGCAGGTCCGAGCCCATCCCACCTGCTGCGTACACCCTGTAATCTAGACAGGGCAAAAAAACCCCAAAAAATCCCACAAAATTATGATAGGAAAGCACCAAAAATCCATTTTCCCCTCCCTGAAAAAAAAAAAAAAAAAATCCCACAAAACTGCTATGGGAAAGCAGCAGAAATCCTCCTCCCCTGCAAAAATCCATCCCCCCTTGCTATAAAAAATACACTCTAGGAGCAGAATTTGCTGTAAACACGGAAGAAAGTTGGATCTGAGCCCCCGGAACTCGGAGTTGTCCAAAACACCCCCAGGGAGCAGCAGAGCCACCGCCCCCACGGCTCCAGGGCTGGTGACAACCCCGGGGGTGGCTCTGCCTGTGCTCCCAATCTCCCCTGGAGACTCTCAGCAGGGTGGGAGGTGACAAAAGCAGGAGCCACAAACTTCTGGAAGCACAGGAGATGTTTTGGAAATGAACAAACCAGCCCTGGCCCGGATGAGGTTTTGTGCACAGAATCAAAGTTGGGGAAAAAAACCTCAATTCCTCAACTGGGGAGCCCCCAGGTCCCCAATCCCAACCTGGGAGCCCAGAGGGATCCTTGGGGGAGAGGGTTGGAAACGTCTTTGCTCCATCTCCTCTCTCTGAACATCATTAAGAAGATGAGCTTAATTAGGGAGAGAGGGCAAAGGCAGAGCTCATCAAGCCCAACCTTTTCACCAACCAGATCCCCCCCCCCTCTGTGGACACACTGTTAGAGATCTGGGAAAATCACAGCCTGGAAAATCATTCTCAGGCTGGAGCTTCTCCTGCTCTCTCAGCTTCGTTCCCAAGCTGATAATGTATCAGCTCCAGTAGGGAGAATTTCTCCCAGGATGACAATCTGGTCAAAACAAAATGGAATTCATAATAAAAATTAACACCTGGTACAAACCGTGGGACTCATTCTGAAACGCTGTCCCAGAGGCTTTTTTTTTTTCAATTATCCAATGAACTACCATCTTAACTCTGCAGAAAATACTGTAAAAGCACGAATCACACTCACAATAAATACCTTCTTTTCCCTGAGGAGATCTGTGTGTGTTGCTCTCTCTCTAAAGCAATAACCACACCCCCCTAAATCCCAAATCCCACAGAGGTCCCTCCTTGCCTTTGGCTGTCACCGAGATGCCCATGGCAGCTTCTCGCAGCGAGCTGCGCTTCCTCCAGCGCCCCTCGTCCGTGTTGTACATCTCCACCACCTTCAGCGGCTGCTGGTTCATGCCCACACCTGTCGGGGAAGATGAAAATGGAAAACTTTATCAATAGGATTGCTTGGCAAAAGATTTGGAGAATATGGGAGCTGTAAGTGAGATGGAAATGAAAGGCAAACCTTAGTTAGTGAACTAGAAAACAACAGTGTGGGCAGCTGAAAGTAATCCCCTCTTGAGTGAACAATCCCCTGTGCCTGCAGACAGGGCCAAGGGGCAGAGAGGACCCTGCTGGATTGGTAAAGGGGGGTCCAAAGAGCAGTTTTTAGGGTTTAAAGTGTAACACAGTACGGTGATGTAATGATTTTTATAGGCTGTGTGTAAATGTTATAGGATTTGTATCTTGTATTAGATTGGTGAGTGAGAATTAGAGTATTCAACACGGAAGGAGATTTATTGTATTGTAACGGGAGCCTCGCTCTCTTATGCTCTTACTTCTCTTACTTTTCTTATGCACTTCTTACCTCTTGCACTCTCTCCTTAGCTCTTACCTTTTACCCTCTTACTCCTTTTCCTCTTACCCTCCTGCTCTCACAGCCTGCTCCGAGCTGGCAGCTCCAAGCAGGTCCCTTTCACCCACGCAATAAACCACAAGCTCCAAAGCCTGGCTTTGGCCATCACTCCATCAGTCCCGACTTACACACACCTCCAATCACCATGATCCTCTTGCCCAGCACGGTGACGGCCACGCCCGCCCTGGCTGTGGGCATGGGGGGCAGCGATGCCCACTGGTCGGCCTCGGGGCTGTAAACCTCGAAGGAATCCACGGGGACCCCGTTGTCGTCGCAGCCGCCCACGGCGAAGACCTGCCCGGCCGCCTCCACCAGCGTGGAGTAAACCCTGCGGCTGGGCAGGGGAGCCAGGGATTTCCACTGGAAGTCTTTGGTGCTGGGCAGCTCCATGGTGGAGGGGTTTCTGCTGGGGGAGTGGAATTCTGGAGTTGTTGAAGGTGGGAAAGTCCGCGAGGATCAGCCAGGCTGTGCCTGATCGCTGCACTGAGCGCTCAGTGCCACGTCCAGGAATTTCTTGGATATCTCTGAACCTCCCTGGGCAGCCCCTGCCAACCCTTTCCATGAGGAAATTCCAGCCTGAGCCTCCCCTGGCCCAGCCTGAGGCCGTTCCCTCTCCTCCTGTCCCTGTTCCCTGGGATGAGATCCCAAATCCCCCCCGGCTGGCCCCTCCTGTCAGGGAGTTGTGCAGAGCCACAAATTCCCCCTGAGCCTCCTTTTCTCCAGGCTGAGCCCCTTCCCCTCAGGATTCTCCAAACCCTTCCCCATCTCCCTCAGGATTCTCCAAACCCTTCCCCAAATCCCTCAGGATTCTCCAAACCTTCCCTTTTCCCTCAGGATTCTTCAGACCCTTCCCTATCTCCATTCTCTTCCCTGGACACGCTCCACCCCTAAAATGTCCCTCCTGAACTGGGGGGAAATCCCAGATCGCTAAACCCACCCTGGCAGGAGCAGAGCAGGAGCAGAGCTGTCCCCTGTGTCACCTGTCCCCTGTGCCACCTGTCCCCCGTGTCACCTGTCCCCTGTGTCACCTGTCCCCCGTGTCACGGCCACCCCCAAGCAGCACCGCCGGTACCTGTCAGCGCCTCTCCATCAATCCTGCGGCTCTAGAGCCTCCTCAGCAGTTCACGCAGAGACCGAGCCTAAAAATAAAACAAAACAAAAAGAGGTGGGAAATTTTTTTTAAGAGAAAAAAAAAAACCCACAAAAAAAAAAAAAAACACCAGAGAAAAAAACCCAAAAACAAACAGGCGAGAAGGTTGGAGTCAGTTTGTTCTGCTGCTTCCCGAGCTCTCCCCGCCCCCAGGTGACATTCAAACCAGGCGTCTGCTCTGTTTTCCTGCCGGCTGGGGAAGTTTTCCTTCTGGATTCCACTGGATTCCTCCTCCCGATGTTCCTCAGCCCCTGCCCCGGAGCAATGCGAGCCCCCAGCTCCCCAATCCCAGCCCGGCAGCCGAGAGGGATGGCGGGGGGAGAGGGCTGGAAACGCGCGGGTTTTGCTCCATCTCCTCTCTCCGAACGTCATTAGGGAGATGAGTTTAATTAGGGAGAGAGGGAGAAGGGAGAGGGACAAAAGCGACCCCGGAGGTTTCGCTCCGAGCATCCCCACCTCGGTGCGGCCAAAGGCAGAATTCCCGCTGTCCTTGCGGCCGCTCCCGGCGCTGCTGCCTGCTCTGACTTTTGGGAGACGGCTCTGAAGGGCAGAGCCAGCCCCGGCCAAAAAAATCCCAAAAAAGGCTCGTTCCTGGCTCAGCCGGGCTGGGACAGCGACATTCCCGCTTCTCCCCCTGCACGGGCTCCTGGGGCTTTTCCCTGGGGATGATGAGGTCCCACCGAGCCAGGAGGAGCTTCCCAGGGGCTGGAGCAGGGAATCATTCCCGAATCCATGTCCCTGAATCCCAAATCCATGTCCTTGAATCCCAAATCTATGTCCCTGAGTTTCAAATCCATGTCCTTGCCCCCTAAATCGATGTCCCTGTCTCCCAAATCCATGTCCACGACCCCCCAGTCCATGTCCCTGTCTCCCAAATCCGTGTCCCTGAGTCCCAAATCCATGTACCTGATCCCTGAATCCAAATCCCTGCTTCCCAAATCCATATCCCTGAGTCCCAAATCTCTGTTCCTGTCCCCCCAGATCCCTGTCCCTGTCCCCTGACCCACACCCGGCCCCTGTGGATGAGCGCAGCCCCCCCGGGTCTGTCCCATCCAATGTCCCCAAGCACAAATCCATCACCCCGCTGTGACACCCCTTGGCTTTCCTCCTTTTCCCCCCAAAAAAGCAAATCCAGTGGGAGCAGGGAGTGAACGAGGGGGATCAGAATTCCCTACCCCGGGAATTCCGCCCATCACGGAGCTGCCAGCCCAGAGCAGCCGCAGGCGTCGCTTAGCAACAGCCACCTGCAGCCACTGTCACCTCCCGGCTGTGTCACCTCCCGGCTGTGTCACCTCCCGGGCCCCGGGATCAGCCGGGACATTCCTGGGATCACGGCCTGGAGCAGCGAGTGGGATCCCTCTGGAAGGGGCAGGGACCAGAATGGGAATTTCCTGTTGTTTCTCCTCGAAATTCCTGGCGGTTTTGGCCATCTGGTAAGGGGGACAGAGGTGGTGGCCTTGGGGACACAGCCAGGGACAGCAGAGAATTCCTGCTAAACAAAGAATTCCTCCTGAACACGGAATTCCTGCTATCCCAGGACCCCTGCAAACTCCAGAGCCATCCCAAAGGGAGATTTCCATGGTCCCGTTTGTTCCTACAGCTCCTCTGGAAGTGGGAATTTGAGGAGGGTGACAGGAAACATCCCTGGAAGTGTCCCAGACCAGGCTGGAATAGTGGGAGGTTCCCAGGGTGAGCATTCCAAGGACTTTCCAACCCAAATTATCCCGGGATTCTATGATTCCATGAAGAAAATTAAAAACATCGCTGAAAAAGATCTCACAGCTGGACTAAGATCCAGGAAAATCTTTTCCCACCAGTCCTAGCAGGGTTGTTTATTTTTATTTCTATTCCCAAATAAATTTTCAGGAGGGCACTAAGCATCACTTATTGAGTGAAGAGTGGGGTTAATAAATAAACTGAGAAATCCTGCTTGGATTTCCTCCAGCAGCAGGACCTGCCGTGAGCCCATCCACAATTCCCGGTGCAATTCCCACAAATTCCCGGCTCCACGTGGGCAGCAGCACAAAGGAACACAAAGCCAGGATAAAAAGCAGCGGCAGCGCATCAAGCCACGCTTCCCACCCTGCCAGAATCCAAGGAAAAAGGGGCGAGCCCAGATCCCGCTGCTGCTCTGCCCTCCCTGAGCAGCATCCCGGGATTCTGCTCCCACGAATGATGGATTTCCTTTCCCGGTGAATTTTCATGGACAGATTCAGCCTGGGGTGGACAATTAGCAAAGCAGAGGCAGCTCCTCTTTCCAGGGGCTCGATGGATTTGCGTCCAGACATTCCTGACCTCTATTCCTTCAAATCCAAAGTGCTGGAATGAGACACAACCAGCGCCACTCCAGTGCCTGCCAGCAGCAGAATCTGACTGGGGCCAGGCGATTTCTGCGTCCAAAACTCAGGAATAATTGCCTAAAATGGCCTTAAAATTCCTTTTCAACAATGCCAGCAAGAGGAGAGCGCTTGGAGAGGGATGAGGATTTCTCCGGGCAGGTCATCCATGGGAACAGAGGAGCAAAGAGCTGGGAATTGGGCTGGAATGCAAAGAGATGGGAATTCAGCTGGAATGTAAAGAGCTGGGAATTCGGCTGGAATGTAAAGAGATGGGAATTCGGCTGGAATGCAAAACCCTGCCCGAATTCAGCTGCCTTGGCACACAAAGAATCTGCTCCTCTTCCCTCCCGTGCTATTTAAAGGAAATCAAGGTCAGGCTCACACTCTGAATTCCTGAATTCCTCGCCTTCGCCTCCGGCTCTCCGAAATCACCTGGATTTCACCGGGAAGCGGCTCCAGGGCCGTGCTGGGAGCTGGCAGAGCGTCCTGAGGCCGCATTCCGCTCCCGGGCTCGGGGAATTAGCGCTCCATCACTAATTGACATTTGAAATCCAAAGGAAGGGAAATTGCTTTTCCATTAGCGGAGATGGGGCAGGGCCGGCTCCGTCCAGGATAAAATTCCTTGATTTAAGAAACCCTGCCAGGGTCTTTTCCAAGTGGATTTGGAGCATGGATGGGCAGGGGCAGCCCCGCAGCACCCCCGGGGAGGGGTCAGGGCTCCGGGGGACAGCGGGACCTCTCCCTGGATATTCCCTCCAAGGAAAACTCATCCCGCATTTTGGAGAGCCCCTGGATTGGAGGCATTTCTGGGCCTGCAATAATTTGGGATTTATCGGAGCCAGGCTGGTGGATTTCCAAGGGATTCATGGAATGAACAGGGGGACATGTCAGAGCTCCTTTCCCTTCCCTTCCCATCTCTCTTCTCTCCAGGATTTGGAAGTTTTGCTGCTCCAGGGTTGAAATTCCAGAGGCCAGCACTTGAGCGGGCTGGAACCCAAATTTCCTCCTGTTTGGGAACGGGACAGACCCAGGATGATCCTCGCAGCCCCCAAAATCCCATCTGCAACACCCTCGTGCCACCAGGAGCAGGGCAAAGACACCCAGTGGGACAGAGAAATCCATGGGGGAAACTTCGGGAAAAAAAGATTCTTCCTGTCCCCCGTGTCCCAAGGGAGAAGGGGCCGGGAACAGCCCGGTTCTGGTGCCTTTGCTCCAACCTCGGCAGCTGGGAATGAAAGGAACAGGCTTGGAATTGTCAGCCGGGAATTCCTGACCTTCCCCAGCTCAGTTTCCTCGCCATAGTAACAACCACCCGGAAAATAATAACAACAACAACAAAACCCCGCCGGTTCCCTGCCTCTGCCTGGAAAAAATAATGGCAAAAAGAGGGAAAACCTTTGGAATTAGAGGAGATTTCATCGTGCCGAGAGGAGGAAAAGCAGCAGCACTCGCAGCTCCTTTGGTACCCCCCGATCCCGAGCATCCTTTGGGATGCAGGAGGGGCTGGGGCCGCTCCGGCCTCCCCCAGCCTCACCCCTTCCCCCATCCCGGTCCCTCGGGATCATTTCCAGCCTCCTCCTGCCTGCTGCGATTTCCTGCAGCTGCTGATGGGAGGGAGAGGGGTTACAGAAGGAAATATTCCCCAGCAGGAGGACGGTAAGGGTGGCACAGCTCCGGAGCAGGCAGACAAAAGCTGCTTCATTTCTTGAAAGAGGGGAAAGAATCCAAATCAACATTTTTATTTTTTTTTTTAAATCCTGAGTGGGCTGAAAAATCAGCAGAGCAAGGTGAGGTTTACTGAGCTTAGCTCAGGATATTTCATCTTATTTGATGTAATTTAATTTAATTTAATTTAATTTAATTTAAGAGCAAGGACCCACCTGCAAGAGCAAAGGGTCTCCCTTCCCCACCCAGCTCCCACCAGGATCCCGAATCCTTCTCCTCGTCCCCAAAAGCTCCCTCTGCCCCAACAGCTCCTCTCCTGCACGAGACAAACACAGAAAAGCTTTTCCGAGCCCTGCAGCCTCTCAGGTTGTGTTTCCAGAGCTCCTTCTCCTTTTTATTTCGGCTGCACAGGGAACGGGAAGAGCTCGGGCCAGATCACAGCTGGGGGAGGTCACAGCGAGCCCATCCCTGCCGGGCCTGGCCCGGGAGAAAGGCTGGAAAAATGGGATTGGGGATGCTGGGAGGAGAAAAACTGAAAATACGGGATTTGAGGGGGAAAAAAAAGTACGGGAAAATCCCATTGTTTTTCACAGAAAGAAAGAGGGAAAAAATCATCTTTCTCCGCCCGATTTTTGTAAGCGAAGCGCAAACTCCAAGCTTTGGTTGTGGCTGTTCCTGAAAAGCCTGGCAGGACACGGGGTCCCAAAACATCCCCCCCTCCCCCAAATGACCACCAGTGAGGAATTCCCTCCTTCCCCTCCCTTTCCCAGGATTTCTCGGGAATACTCACAGCTCCGGAGCCGCCTCTCCAGGTGGAGCATGGCTGGAAATGCTCCGGATTTTCCCAAATCCTCCGAGCATCCCTTTCCTCCCACTCCCCGCCGGGCTGCGAGCGGCTCTGGGAGCAGCCGGGGTTGGGAATCGCTGCGTGGGAAGAGGAGGGAAAATAAAAATCCGCTTAAATCCAGCTTTAGGCGCTGCCGTTCCCCCCGCTGGAAGATGTAGGACACTCAGGGCGGGGAGGGTTTCCCCAGCTGGGCTCCTCCTCGGGGCTGTGCGTGCGAATTCCCGGCGTTCCCGATCCCATCCCTGAGCCTTTTATGGCTCCCCACGCTCGCACAGGATGTTCTGGAACATCCCCCAGCTCCCCGCCCTGCAGCGGCACCGCCGAAATTCCCGGTGAAATTCCCGGTGAAATTCCCGGTGAAATTCCCGGTGAAATTCCCGGCGAAAGGGAGGGGAAAATGGGGAAAAACGGAGCTGAGAGGGGGCAGAGATTGTCTGGGAAGGGATGGATGGGATCCGGGGTGGATCCCAGGGATCAGCGAGGGGAGAGCCCATCCCATGGATGTCACCCCAAAACGGGGAAAACGGGCACGGCAAGGGCGGCTGGGGCGGCAGAACCCCAAAATTCTGCTCCTGCATCCCAAAAGGAGCAGAGATGTTGGATCCTTTGGAGCAGATTCCCAAAATTCTGCTCCTGCATCCCAAAAGGAACTGGGAGCAGCGGGATTTGGACCCTTTGGAGCTGATTCCTAAAATTCCACTCCCTGCAGCTCCTGCATCCTACAAAGAGTTCAGAGGAACAGGATGTTGGACCCTTTGGAGCAGATTCCCAAAATTCTGCTGCATCCCACAGGGAGTTCAGAGGAACAGGATGTTGGAGTCTTTGGAGCAGATTCCCAAAATTTTATGCTTCTGCATCCCAAAGGAGCTCAGAGCAGCAGGATTTGGATCCTTTGGAGCAGATTCCCAAAATTCTGCTGCATCCCACAAGGAGCCCAAAGGAACAGGAAGCTGATTTGAAGCTGATTCCCAAAATTTTCCGCTCCTGCATCCCA